CAACACTGTAACGAACGAACGTTAACTTCAAAAATACCCGGTGACTGCAGTTCAATTACTCACTGTCTACACACACACACACATTACATTACATTACTCCCTCATCACGTTGTCACCCCCCTTTATATACCAGTCTACCCTCCATCTAGTAAATACTAGAGCATTCGCCAAGATACGGGATAGTTCTAGAAACGTGGCGTCACACCAGTCATGTGACTCGCTGACGCAACAATATTAAAAAAATGTAGCAACTGACAGATAACTATGTAATGGTCAGTGATCTCCTAAAACAATGCATGAAACTGTGATGAAGAATCTCAAAATATCTATTAATGCCATAGATGCAAAGTATTTTTCTCAATCTCACACCCATCCCCCTAACCCTAATGTTCAATAAACTGCATTATGTTATATTACTGGTAGAGGGTAGGTAGTTATGGGCATCTATTGATATACATAATTCATTATAATTTCTAATAGTCATATTAGTAATGTGTATCAATATTTGTCTTTTTTATAATGCAAATTCTGTTTTCATATCTTTTTTTATTCTATCCTGTATGGGATAAAAACTTCTGAAATTTATGATGATAAACCCATTTTAAGTAGCTCACAATAAAGTAAGACTTCATGAAAAAGTCACTGCATTGACCTGAATCTGAAACTCATTTGATCATTTTAATTAAAACTGAAAAATATTTTGTAACTTAGGTAATTCTTAACAAACCTTTATATAGTATATTTATTAACCTGTGTAACCTTTTTTTCATTTCAAAGGATTACAAAAATGTGTAGATTTTTCAAAAACAAAATACAATGTAATTGTGTAGTACAAACTTCCAAAGAAGAATTAATAATACAAGGTTTTTTGTTTAGTATTGTACTGATTTATTGTTGCATTTTCAATGCAATTCTCTATTATTTATTTTTAGGAAGCTTCTATGCTCTCCTCCCTGAAACCTGAACTGGATAACCTTGGTTTGTCTCTCTATGCTGTTGTTCATGAGAATTTGGGTGTCAAGGAGTTCCAACCATTTTTTAAGGGTGAAATATTTTTAGATGTTGAAGTAAGTAGCATTAAATTCATAATGATAATTAGATTATCAAATTTATATTTTTGTAATATCTAGGAAAATATTCTTTCTCTGGGATTGGTGATGTGCAGGCTGAAGTAGTTATTAATTATCATGATAGTTTAGCACTATTCATGAATATGATAGTTAACCTGCATACTATTCGAATAGTGCATGTGATACTTGTGCATACATATTTGGTACCATATCACATGGTTACTCAGCCATTTTCTTAAAAACAATAATTAAATATGGTAGATGACATGAGGGATGATGCAATGGAAAATTGTAGTTATAATTTGAGTAATAGTGGCTTAAGTAAATGAAATAGAATTGATTTGATTAGAAGGCTTTACAAGCAATATTTGGAAGTTTTTTGGTTTTCCAGGAAAAGATGGTATGTATTTGTAAAAAGATAAGAGAAAACAAACTGGAGAAACATGTAAAATTTGTTGCAAGTGATTCAGATATTGTGGAAATACTCTTAACATGCATTTACATTTAAGCAATATGCATCCAAGTGATTTTGCAGCAATGGAAACAGAAAAAATGATGCTGCACATGCAAATAAGAAAAGCAGTAGGAGTAATAACAAAGTTCTGAGTTCACAAAAGCACTTTCCAGCAATTTTGAGGCTCAGTTGCCACTCACCAGGTGCTGGAAGAAGCTGAAAGTTTCAGTATGTTATTTTCTTGTAAAGGATATGCAACTATTTGATACAGTTTATGTTCCTGACTTCTATTATATGATTAACAATTTTGACCCACATTACCCACCTCCAGATTGCAAGACCATAGCTTGTCATTATATGCAGGAATTGTATCAAGTCTATAGTCCAACAGCAGCTTGATGGAGTAGAATGTTATACTATTGCCACAGACATGTGGACATCACGAACAAAACAATCATATTGTGTTATTACAGTTCATTTCATTGAACAACAATTCAAGCTACAAATTTATCTTATAGCAGCTAGTGAGTTTTCTGAAAGTCACACAGATGTGAATAGCATAGTAAAGCTAAACACTACACTAGCTGAGTCGAAATTACCATTTTATGGAATTATTGCTGCTACTACAGATAATAGGTCAAACATCACTGCTGCAATTGAGATGCTTGAAATTCCTCACTTGCCACTTACACACTACAACTTGCTGTTGATCAAACTTTGAAATTGCCAGAAATATAAAAGATGATTAGTAGGTACAAAAACTTGTAGCTCACTTTATCAGCTTTCACATGATAATGACATTGCAACATGGTGGAATAGCAGTTATTATATGGTTGAAAGAATAATCCAGTAGCATCAACCATTGTGTGCTATGGTACTGGAACTCAAAGAAAGTGATTTAATACCTACTGACATAGAATTCTCTAATATGGAACTGTTTGTACAAGTAATGAAACCACTTCTTGAGATGACTGAGGCTTTAGGGGCTCAGAAATATGTTAGTATATCTATGACACGGGCACTGTTACACAAGCTGCTTAATAATCTTTTGAAAAACTGTGACTCTGACTGTAGGATTGTTAAAATGATGAAACTAAAGATGAGAAAGAATTTATATGATTGCCACACTGGACCTATTGTTGATCTACTAAACAAAGCTGCTTTTCTTGACCCATGTTTCAAGTTGCTTACCTTTTTTACTAATTCAGAGAAGCAGCAAGTTTTAGACCAAATTTCAAAAGAAGCTGGAGCTTGTTGTGTACAAGCACATTTCATGGTGAATGGAAACTTCTTCACATATTCGAGGATGTTGTTTAACCAACTGCTGAACAGGCTGGTGAGGCTGTAGGAAATGATAATGACAAAGCAAAAAGAGAGATAGTACGGTATACTGATAATGAAGATGTGATTGGCTCATGGGGTGAGTGTAGTTTTTTAGAATGGTGGGCAAGATCCAACATTAGATATCCTTGTTTGGCACAACTAGCCATGAAATACCTTGCTGTTCCTGCAACCTCTGTTCATTCAGAATAAGCATTTAGCACTGCAGGGTATACTGTGAACATTAAGAGGTCATGTCTGTTGTCAGAGAATGTCTTTCTAGCATCCAAATTGCAGTAATCAAAGCCATGCTTTTGGTGAAGTAAACATTTGTAAGTATCTGCAAACATACATACATTATTGTTTGTGTGTATTCATGAAGCTGCATGATTATAGTGTTACCAGTGTACACTATACACATGAATACTATTATTGTCAATTTTTTGTAACTATCATGATTGTATTCAAAATTGTGATTAGCCATGTTAAACTACCATAATAGTAAACATGTTTACTATTGCTCAGGCCTAATAAAAATACTTTTTTTTTCATCCTAAAGTTTTCATATTTCATTTGCATAACCTCTAGTACCTCCTAAATGAGTATCAGATGTTTTTTTTATCTATAATTTTCTCTACACTAACACCAATTGTAGTGAAATAGAAAATAGGGTAAAATGAAAACCTGAAAAATACAAAACAAATCTAAGTTACTATTTTTTTCTTTCAAGAATGACTACATATTGTAACAGACAAGTACACACTATTTAGTCTTACAGCCAAAGCTAATAGACTTTTTAAACCTGTGTTTGTTTAGTTTTCTTGCTTTACAGCTGAACTTGGACCCTGTCAGAGTAAGGTAAAAGCCATTTATCATATCCGAACAGCTTTGTATAAACAAATGATTGAGTTACAAGCACAATATGAATAAATCACACACTTGCTTTGTGCACATGACTATCACAAGAAATTTTAATATTTAAGTCTGGAGTTCAAGCTTTCTGCTGTTGCCCGACAAAGCTTTCTAGGCCCACTCTTTTTGTAACGAAGTTTGTTGTCTAAAATTTTTATTTGAGAACACAAAACATCACCACACGAAAATATAGAATATCTTAAAAGTACTATAATTTAACTGCTCTCTAACTAAGCTGCAAATAGATTAAAGAAATTATGTTAGTCATGCAATACTCAACAATAATAATTACAATAAACAACCTAAGGCAGACAGTATACAAATGTGTGTGAGTAAGAAATTATAAACTACATTTTCATGCCAGTGTTGTCCATGGTTGCAGAATTAATGATGACATTGCATAATGCACTTCCAAGTACTCCTACTCCCACTTAGAAACAAGTGTGCAGGAAGGAACTTTATCACAGACCATACTAACCAAACAAAAAGACATTACACAGTTAACAGTTATGACTTTTAACCTGAAGAATGTTTCAGTATAGAAGCTAAAATGTCATCTCACTTTAGAAACAGTAGCAGTCTATTACAAATCCAAAACTATATCATTTCTACACTTTCTAAAATACTCTTGAAACAAAATTAGCATATTATAGTTTTGGAAGAATTTTTTTTTAATGGAAAAAAAAAAGACAGTGATTACCCATTCTTTGTTCTAGAAATAATTGGCATACTTTTATTAGTAACTTCTGGTTTAAGGGAACAAAGAAAATAGTTTCATCGAAATAATTTTCTTGTATAGTAAATAGAAAACTTATATTTTTCACTCTCAAAATAATATTTTATTTTTGATTTCATTACAAAATTTAATATTTTATTGTTAGTATGTCATAAAAAGGCTATTGAAATGCAAGTTTCTTAATTATGCAGTTCTTTTAAGAAAATATTTCAAAGTAATCTGCTATCTTATATGACTTATAAAAAAGGTACAGTATAAAAGATAAATAGGCAACTGTAATTCAAGAAATGTTAGCATTTCACCTGACTGGGCTCTTAAAGTTGTCTATGATACAAAACTAGTATAAACAATAAAAAAACGTTTTCTGATAAAACATAATTCTTTGAAAAAATGCTTTTGGCTATTGTTTTTAAATCAAGAGCTATATAGTTAAGCCAGAAATATCTATATTTAAATTGAAAATTAAAACTACTTTTGTTAAATGAATTCCAGTAGTTTAAATTCTTTATGTTAAAATAATGATGTTTTTTATCATTTTAGAACCTTAATTCATTCATTTTATTGGTTGAAATTAATAATATGAGTTGGCACCTGATTCTGAATTCCTATTTTATTTTAGAGGAGGTTTTATGGACCTAAAGAAAGAAGAACCTTGATCATGGGATTGTTGAGAATTGGAGTGTGGTACAACTTGTATAGGGCTTACCAAAAAGGCTTCTCAGGTAACTTGGAGGGAGATGGGACATTGTTGGGAGGTAAGTTTAATGATATAAATATGTATGGTATTAATTTAATGAAAGGTGGAGAAACAGAAGGAGCTTGTTGAACTTTTTATTATTATTTTAAGATTCTATATATTTCCTGGTTTAATATGTTAATGGCATTAGCACTTTTCAGATTTGATCTTGCATTTTCCCTATACATTGCTCTTGAACGTTACATTTTGTAAAAATGGAATATTTTTTAAAGTAATTCTTGTCCAGTTGTATATGACTTTAAAAAACTTTCTGAAGTATTCACTATATCCAGAACTTAACTAGAAAATTCAAGTCATATAATTTTACTGTAGAATGTAATTGCAGGAAGTATGACAGTAATGTACAGTTATCTTGAACTTGATTGTAGACAGGACTCATATTACCAACATTTTTATTGATTTCTATCTAATTAGTGAAATGTGTCCAGTAAAAATATGTTCTCAAGGAATATTTAGGTGAATTCTGGTGTCATAATGTAGAATTGTTACTCAGAATTTTTAACTGTAAATATTTATCAACATCTTCAAAATTTACCACGTAGCATTTAAATTGTATTATATTTTATTTAGATTAATGTTATTGGTTTCCAGAGAAATATCTCGTGTCACTGTTGGTCTTAGTCTGCATCAATTAATTTGCAGGAAGCAGTATGGTGGATATTTTCGACAATTTTCCTTTCTGAATACATATGTATTATCAGAAACTTCAGTTTTGTAAATCATACATAAAGTTTCCATTTTCAATTTTAGGTATCTTAATAAGTTGAAAGAAATTTTAAAATGCAGATCATCATATATCAGTACCAAGACTCCTACCAACTATAAAAAGCTGAATGATAAAAACAACAACATACACACACACACATATTTTGAAATTTTGCTGTCATGGATCATAAGAACCAGACTTGTCAACCATAAACATTTAAGTCAACCAACTGACAACTACAATAAACATGTTTGGAAAGGTTATATAGTGAGATATCAATGGTTACCAAGACTATTAACAGCTATAGGTGGTTAAGTGCTACAAAATAGCAGTATAATAAATACATTCTGGGGTATTTTCAGTCATATACAAAAAAAAATGATAAACAGAGAATTAATATCTACCATAAAACTGTCAAATTTACTGTTAACTTTCGTGGATAAGACTGAAAAAATGAAATTTAAAACTTAATATGATTACATATTTTTAATCAACCGTTCTTAGTTTGTGAAGAAGTTCTTGAAATTATTTCATTTTCATTGATCAGAATTTGTGAATTACAGATCAAATATATTTTCAGCAACAAAACTGATTTCTTGAATTTTTAGGTTTATTCTTGTTGGAAAGTATCTCGGTTTTGTTCTGTGGTTTAAAAAGTTTTTTTTGGTAGATAATTTCATCCTTTCTTTCAGGTGTTTTTGTGCTTGGTCCAGGAAACACTGGGATTCTTTATGAACACAAGGAAATGGAGTTTGGTGATATCGCTAACATGACTGAAGTTATTGAAGCTGCTAAGAGAATCAAACCAAGCTACCAGTAAACAGGATATCTTTTTTTTTTCTATGAAATTACATTCAACTAAAAAATTAGTAACTTTTAGAATATTATTAAGTTTGATGTAAATGTTATATTATCAATGTTTAGCAATATTTCATTTTCCAAAATAGCTAAGGTTGGGATTGATTTAGTTTGAAACCTAAAAAAAAAATTTTTTGAACAATGAGAGCTACACATTGATTTCATTGATGATTGTGTGTGTCAAAATATATTTTTAATTAATTAGACAACCCTTGAAATTTCTTATAGTAATGCTTCAACTATCCTTCTGTAGCCATCATCAGGCTTAATATAAACTCTTACACTTTTAAATATAACTATATGAATCACGAATCATGTCTGTTTACATAGCAGTATGATCTCAACAGTGTCAAAGAAAATGTGTTGCTCTATTGTTATGATAAAAATACAGTAGTTTCAAGGAACCAGCATAAGAAAGCTTAAATTCATGTGATTGATATTTGCACTAAATTAAAACAAAAATTACACAAAAATTAAAGAGAAGTAATTATCGCTGTGTGTTGTTAAAAATTAAAAATAGCTAAAATGGGATACAAAAAATACATTATATTTTTTTCTATACCATTTTAGCCATTTTTCATTTGTAAAGCATGTGAAATACTTCCAACATTTACAGTCTTTTGTGTTTATCATTCCTTCAGTGGTTTAATTTTGTATCACTGAACTCATATTAACTTTTAAAGCAATCAAGATGTTCTTAATTTTTTCTACTAATTCAATGTAAATATACTGTTTCACCACTGCAAAATTTGGAGTATAGTTTATTGTAGTAAACGCAAATATAGTCGTCATCTTTCTGAGACACAGCACTGGTATCTGAGTCTTCTATGCCTGGATCATTGTCATATGTCCAATAATGTGCCACTTTTTTATTTTTTGCAGGTGAAGCTTTGGTTACTGTTTTCTTTGCTTTTTGGATTTTCCTTTGCTTGTTTATCTTGTTTTATATGAAATTCACTTGCAATTCACATTTATATGGACTGCTGGTTAGAATCAGTCTTTTTCTTTCTTTATCCTACCTTTTATTTTTGAACAAGAAGTTTGTTTTAGATAGAGCACAATGTTAAGAAGTATTATATCCATTTATAGAATATATTAGGTTTTGTTTGTCCCACACTGATTGAGCTAGTGGTAGCATGTGCTGCAATAAGATGAGTATTGTGTTATTTCTTCCTGTAGAATTTACTAAGTAACTGAAGAGACATTGCTAAACCTTTAGCTACATGTAACAATTTTTTATACATTCAATTCTATTTGTAAAATGTTTGAATGAGCTAAAACTTCAAGTGAAATTCTCATCATGGATAATCAGTTTCTATTTTTATATATATATATATCCACAGTATCTCAAACTTAATTTGTATTTCGACTAGATTAGATGCACATCACTTGAATGACAGATTGTGTGTTAAAAAGTATTTGTACTTTCACACTATCTTGAGTAATCAGTGACTTGTGTTCCTCTACAAGGAAAGATACGAAACTACTATTTAAATTTTGATATAAACCTATAGATACAGATATGCTCATTCTAAGAGTTGTACACTATTTTCTATTAATTAAAGATGATTGATAATACTAAACAAGCAAGTTTGTTGTTTTTTGTACAATAGATGTAATTCATCATGTAGTTCTCACACAAATTTCATAAAAGCTATATTTTCCATACAATTTAGTGCATCATTATAAGTGATAAGATTGTGTGTTTGAATAAAATTACCAGATTTAGACAAAATTATGATTTGCAATTTGAAAAGTAAATTTTTCATTTTAATGTAGTATCTTCACTGTCTTATTAAATAATAAATTTAGGGTAGAATAATACAGTACCAGTCTGTGTGTTGAAAATATATAATAGTAAATATAATTGTGAATAAAATGGATAGAACAAACAGAAGTAAGAAAATAGAAAAAAAGGACTTAACCATCTTAACTTTCAAGGTTATTTTAGAGCCATACAACAACTGTTGCTGGTTAATAACATTTTTCTCAAATGTAATTCATTTGTTTTTTTGTTCTTGCTTTCAACTGTAATAATTTAACAAAGAAACCATCTTTTATAGACAACAATACTCATATATTTTGTCTATTTACATATTTTTTTATAAGGAAGTATGCTTGGGGTCTATCTAGTATTCCATTTAGATCTTGCACTAAATTTCAGTCGTATAAATTGTAATGGGAAAAGTTATAATTTCAACTGTAATAATTTCACAAAGAAACCATCTTTTTTAGACAACAGTACTCATATATTTTGTCCATTTACATATTTTTTTTATAAGGAAGTATGCTTGGGATCTATCTAGTTTTCTACTTAGATCTTGCACTCAATTTTGTTTTTATCTTTCAATTGTATAAATTGTAATGGGAAAAAGTTATGTACCAAGCTACCTCACCCTAAGGAAACACAAAGCTTTTATTTAGACTGATTAGAGTTGATTATTCTCAGCAGGTTATTGTGTATTGATGATATAATTTAAACTCTAATTACAGTGAACCATGAAAAACATGCATTTACACCAAAAAAATGTAGTTTCTAGAGGATATCTTTTTTGATAGTATTGTATAATCTTTTTTAATACTATTTTTCAAAGCAAAATGAAAATAATGACATAAAAGGCACATTTTTGCCATCACAATTTTTTTTTTATAAAATGTTTATCATTACTTACATATTATGTAATAACTTCTACCATAAGAGCTGTTAAAATTCTACAATAATGATCAAAGTTAATACCAAATAGTCTTAATAATGAGTAACAAGGAAACTACAAAAAACTTTTATGACCACTCTGTCCTAGCTCATCAGTTGAGTAACTTTACTGAAAGCAGTGTTTTTGGCCCTTAAACCAATAATACCTAACATGGTTTGACATGTTTAACAAAATTACCAAGCAGAATTGTCACATGTACCATGCCTATCACATTTGGCTAATGTAGTTATTGTTGTTTACAAAATTTAACATTATATATTAAATCTAGCTAAAACTATAAATAACTAAAATACATATTGAATTAAATTTAATGCTATAAATAACTAAAATATATATTGAATTAAACTTAACACTATAAATTACAAAAACACTTACTAAATAAGATGCAAGTTCCAGCTATTTGTCCAGTTCTTAAAAACTATAAACTAATTCTCTAAAGCTACTAAATTTTGCACAGATATTAGAATATGTGAAATTTCAAAGAAATATATAAGATATGTATATGGTATTAACTGCCATTGTGTGACTTAAATGTAAAATGCTTAGAAAGGGAAGGTACTTCATTCGCAATCTGTAAGATATGGATTTGAATCCCATCACAAAATGTGCTCATCCCAATAGTCGTAGGAGTGTTATAATGTGATGATCAATCCCAATATTTAATTAGAGTAGGCCAAGAGTTGGAGGTGGGTCATGACTTGAATGTAAAATGCTAAGAAAGGGAAGGTACTTCATTCGCAATCTGTAAGATATGGATTTGAATCCCATCACGAAATGTGCTCATCCCAATAGTCGTAGGAGTGTTATAATGTGATGATCAATCCCAATATTTAATTAGAGTAGGCCAAGAGTTGGAGGTGGGTCATGACTTGAATGTAAAATTCTTAGAAAGAGAAGGTACTTCATTTGCAATCTGTAGGATATGGATTTGAATCCCATCACGAAATGTGTTCATCCCAATAGTCGTAGGAGTGTTATAATGTAATGATCAATCCCAATATTCAATTAAAGTAGGCCAAGAGTTGGAGGTGGGTTATATTCACTAGTTGCCTATCCTCTAGTCTGTCATTTTTAAAGGAAAGGCTAGTACAGCTAGCTCTCGAGTAACTTTGTACAAAATTCAACAAACAGGTATAAAGGATAATGCTTGAAGACGGCTTGAATGGGTAATGAAGAAAAACTTACCCATTCAAGCCATCTCCAAGCATTATTAGTCTCAAAGTGGGTTCCTCTTCATCGAATAGGTATAAAGGATTTCTGTAATTAGTCATTCTACGTCTGTGAAAGTATTATGGATTGGCTATAAATATTGAAATTAAAAAGTCCCTAAAGGCTGAAGAGTTTGAACTTTGTTTTTTTTAGTTGTCACTTGTTCAAAAGTTGTGACATTTTTATATGAACCAATGATGGAATGCTATTAGGAGATTAAGTGTTCATACATTTAATTTTTGTGAAAATGATAAATGATAAGTTTGAACTACCCTTAGATCTAGAAATTAAAATGTTTCAAACACTTGATTTGCCAATTTGTTTTCTGAAAGAGACTAAGGGTTGAAGACAAAAAAATGCATTTAATCATGAAGTGGACTCAAGGTTGAACATGTTTAAAGGCTAAACTGTTATGGGAGTAAATTGGATGGGTTAATAAGCTGAAGCTAGAGTAATTTTTATAATGGAAGTGCTTAAAGCCATTGAAGAAAATTGTAATTGTGGAAACCTCGCATTTGGTTGGTGTTAAAACAAATGTTAATAAATTGAAGCTAACATCAACATGTCAGTTCAAGTAAAAAACTTTAACAATGCTGTTAACAACAAACCATAAAAAAAGCAAACAAACGGGAAAGTAAATTAGGCTATCTAACATTAAAAGCCTTTTAAACTTCAATACTGGTCGGCATGGCCAGGTGGTTAGGGCACTCGACTCGCAATCTGAGGGTCACGGGTTCGAATCCCCGTCACACAAAACATGCTCGCCCTTTCAGGGCGTTATAATGTGACGTTGGTAAAAGAGAAGCCCAAGAGTTGGCGGTGGGTGGTGATGACTAGCTGCGTTCCCTGTAGTCTTCTACTGCTAAATTAGGGACGACTAGCGCAGATAGCCCTCGTGTAGCTTTACGCGAAACTCAAAAACAAACAAAACTTCAATACTAGGAACAATCTTTTTCCCGAAGTCTATTTCCTCGCTGTAAACTACTAGTAAATATCATGCAACTACAGAATTTATATCTTTAGAAAATCAATTCATGCTCATACAACGTTTGAAGGTTATATTCATAAACATGCAATTTAAAACAAAACATTGCAAATCAACACTTCTAAGACCACCAGAAGGTTTACATCATCCTTTAACATAATACATACATCTTTACTATAATGAAGCAATGGCATGGCCGTATATAAATTGTATGTACATGACTGAAATAATAAATACAATGGTGCCATCTGTTGTGCTGAAATACAACAAGATCTCGATGCCAGAAGTATCAATTGAGGCTTATGAAATGCCATAAAAAAAAAATCCATAAAAAATCACACTTTTGATATTCAAGATAAAGACAATCAGGAAAATAACTAGGATATGTGCAACAACTATTTATTTGTAGCATAACATGATTTTAAATAAATGTACTCTACTTTGAAGAAGAACGCGACTTTCACTAGGATTGTTCGTGAGGGTTTGATTGAACGAGTTCTTACAAAAAATTTTTTTCAATAAAGGGGAGCACTTTTAATAAATAAAGACATTACAATTTATATCAGTAAAATTTATGAAAATTTTGAGCTTTGTACATTGAATTATTTCGATGCGATGAATTGCATATGAATAAAGAGCACAATTCAAACACTTCTCCCGTGCAGTACTTCCCAGAAAAAAAAAAATTGAAGAAAATGTTCAGTTTTCTACAATGTGATATGAATTCTACAATTACTAGCACAAATTACAGATTAAGGAAAAAGGAGAAGACACATAAAAGCCTTAAGACATAACAGGTTAGAAACTGAGCAGCCAACTAAGAAATTCCACGATATGATGTTAAAGCAAAAACTGAAACCTTCAGTGACCTAAGGAAATCCAGTTGAACAAAAGCCACAAACAAGGATATTGTGTTAAAAACAGATGGATTACAAACTTTTTGAACATATAATTTGGGTAGCATCAAATAGAAACCTGATCATGAGAGAGATCTTACAATAGTCATTAAGACCACAACCATTGAGTCTTGTCAACTATGATGGTACACTGAAGAAGACACACAAGGCAGCTATAACAAGAAATACTGAGAAACAAGTGTCACCAGCTGTCACAATCCTTTGTCCTTTAGCATGCATCATGAATGGTTCTTGTACGCAAAGTAAATGCAGAAACAAAAAATATGGTAACCTGGCTGTAATCATCTTTGTAACTAACAGCAACATGTTGGATGTGAGCTATTACGTGTATAAAGGCATTTTGATTAAAATTACAGAAAGATAAAAGATAAGGTCCAACCTTGGAGTGCTACTCAGCAATATTAATTCATCTGTCCACAAGATACTACAATGGAGATTCATTCTTGGGTGTTCCAGTTTTGTTTTTGTGTGTATGATGAATGGAAGAATAATTTACTTTGAGAAACTAAGTGAGAAAGTTATGTACATCACATGCCAAAAAAACTATCAATATTAGTAGAGAAAGAGTATCGTGTCTTGCTGAACTAGCAGCTTCACAAGAAAAAGCTTACAAATATTGGGCATACTTTGCATGCATCACAGCAACACAAAACAATTATTGTGGGATCCAGGAGCACACATGATCACTCTTGCTCTCACTTTCTACAGGGATATTGGAAAAATCAATGTTAGATGTGGCACCCAAACTCAGATAAAGAACT